GTGACGCACTCATAAATTATATATATATATATATATATATATATATAATTATTTCGACCAAAAACGAGCCAAACACGAATGAACGAATCATTGTTCGTGTTCGGCTAGTTCATCTAATAAACATAAAAAAAAAATATTGGTGTTTGACTCTTTAATTTAGCTAAAAAAAAATTTCTTAAAGAGTCGAACACGAGATGTTCACGAATAACGAGTTATTTTGACATACCTTCTCGATGGAGGTGACACATAAGAGAAATCCTTCACCTATAAATTTAATTTTCTTAAACTTTTATATATAATAATTATTATTTGGAGGCATTCATGTGTAAAAATCCCTTTAAAATTTTCAGATATTTTTGCACTCTACCATCTTTCTTTTTCACAGTCCATCTCCTTCCCTACTAGGTCATTCATCATCCTCTTTCTTCTGCACCTCACTTCACCTCTCCGAGGAGGTTTCTGCATGTCGCCGCCTCTTCTTCCTCCTCCTTCTCTCCTTCATCCCATACCTATCTCCTCTTGCCATTTGAACTCCGTGAAGGTTTTCTTATGGCTTTAAAGCATGCGGCGGAGAATTTCTCTAAGTCGCTCAAGGAGGAAGTGCAAAGATGGGGATCGATGAAGCAGACGGGGGTTAGCCTCAAATACATGATGGAGTTCGGCTCGAGGCCCAAAGATAAGAAACTCTTGATTTCGGCGCAGTTTCTGCACAAGGAGCTCCCCATAAGGATCGCGAGGAGGGTAATTGAGCTCGAGAACTTACCCTTCGGTTTGTCGCAGAAACCCGCGGTTCTGAAGGTATGTTTTTCAGTCTTCTTAAGTTTCGGTTCCTTCGTTTTATGTTGGTGATTTTGATGTTGGTTTGATGTCTTGAGCATGCGGATATGGGGTTTTTGTGTTTGTTCGTATCGTTTAATTGATTTTTAGTTTTTTTTCATGGAGTTTTTAACGTTTTGGAGTGTTTCACTGAGAAAAGGATAGCCTGTAATTTGTTTGGTTTAGGTAATGGCTTTGTTTCAGATTTGTGCTGTTTCTTTCTTATTTTCTTATTTATTTTTTGATTGGTTGATTGTTAGTGATGATAGTTTACAACGGCTAATCTGTGATGAATTATTTTAGATTATGTCCATTCATCGGTTCTTCTATAAGTAATATTCAATAGCTGTTTGCTGTCTTTGTTAATGTCTATTTTAGTTATATTACTTTGTTTCAGGTTTTTTGCTAAAAATTCCTTATTGTGATTTTGTTTTAACATATTTGAATATGCGAATTTTGGCTATTCTGCTGTTTGTGCTGTAACGTGTCAGGCCCTTTGATTTGATAGAGTCTAGTCAGATGTATGAATCCTTTTCTTGCTTTATGAATAAGAAGTAGAATGAACTGTGGGTGGCAGGAGGATATCTATTTGGAGAGCTACGGTGAAGGTTTCAGGCCTCCTCTTTGATACACCATCTACAAAATTCTCATCATCATTTGACATGAATCTCGAGGCATGACATAGAGCTGGAGACAATTTTTTTATCAAGAAACGTTCATATTTTTGATAAATAGTCATTCAGAGCTCTGATTTCAGCAATCTTATAGTCAAACTGATCGGTTTTATGAGCCAGACCCAATGATATCAAAAATAGTCAAATTCGAGTTAAATCAAGCTCAAATCAAATCATTAAACTACTCTTGAAAGTTTTCTGAACATATTTAGAATGTCAAATTTATTAGGAATCGAGTGTCTCGACAAAACGTATCCAACGAGCCCAAGATTGCTCAATTTCAACATTGTTATGACACTCAAATGTTCATCAAACACCGTTTGATCGAAGAAAGTTATTCGGACTATCCAATAAAAAAGGTTCATATTTTTTTATTAATTGCACTCAGAACATTATAAATTAAACATCACCCCTCTCATGAGGAAGAGAAGAGTTTGAGGCTTGAGAAAGAACTTAAAGTTTTGTGAAGGAGTTGAAGCCCAACACTACTCCTACCATCGTCAATCGCCGCCGACCATCATTGATCACCGCAGACCGTCGTCGATCACAATCGACCGTCGTCGACCACCGTCGACCACTGTCGATCACCGCCGACCGATGTCAACTACCATTGACCGCCGTCAACTATCACCGACCACCGCCTAGCGCTGTTGACCACCGCCTAGCGCTGTTGACCACCGCCGACCGTCATCAATCACCGCCGATT